CAGAACACATCCTCCCACATCCTATTACAGTACTGTAAGCTACAAACTATTCTCCCAGTGAAGAAAATCCTGTGTGTTGTCTTTGTCTGCTTCACATGGAAAACATAGGCTCTCTACAAAAGCTCAATGGCAGCAGAGGATTCAGTATGAGTGTTTTGAGAATAACTATTAGATCAAGCCCACTAAGCAACACAGATGGAACGAACAATAATCATTCTATTGAACCTGATGAGGCTTTGGTGCCAAATAGGTGCTCAGCTGATCTGTGCTTCAGAAGCAGAGCTTTAGAACAATGAACCCTGAAGTAAAAATAGAAGTAGATAGTAAAAGATAGTAAAAATCCCATTTTCTACAGAATTTGGATGTCCTCAAAGTTGTGTGGAGAACTGAGGAATTAAATTCTGGAAGCAGGCACCTAAGTCTTAGTAGGCAAAAAAAGCTCAATTGTTAGAGGATTCTTGTCCCAGAAATTTGATTCAGATTTTTAAAAGTTAGAAGAAAAATCCATTAGAATGAAATAAAAAACAAAGACATTTAGTAATGCCTTTTATTATGAGAGGATAACCGAAACAGTAGTACTTTTTCCCCTCTTTTTTAAATGCAGTTTTAGTGTAAAAATTTTTCTTTTTTATTTATTTATAACATTTATTAAAGATTTGAAAGACTGTGTAAAAGAAAAAATGTTTTAACCATCATGCCCTGAAAATAAAAAACCACACATAAGCCTTGAAGCACACAAGCTATAACAAAGCTATTTTGATTTCCATGCAACTGAAGATAACATAAGGATACTGGAAAACAGAAGTAAACAAGAACACGTATCACTAGAAGAAGGAAGAAATTACTGTACTTACCTCTAGTGCATAACAAACAGGTTTGTCTCTGCCCAGTTTGTAAGCTATTGTGGTTAGAAGACCATGTTCAGAAAACACAGCCTAAATGGGGAAAGGGGAAAGAAAAGGTAAAGCATGAACAGAGGCAGAAAATATTTAAATAACTATATTCAAATTATAATAAACAAGAGACAAAACCTTCACTGGAAAAAAAAATAAATATGGAAAGTTTAAACAAAGTAAATTATCAGTCACTCTAAATAAACACCTAAGAGAGAACCCTCAGATTGCTGGTGTTAATTCTTGTTTCCACAAGCTCTCTCAGATCTTTCCAGCCTCCTTATAGCAAGGAATTAGGAGTCTTTAGAAGGAGATGTGAATGAGAAGGAAGCGAAAGCTTTGCATTATTTATTCAACCACGACTACAAAGAAACAATGGGAGAAAATGAAGGGAAGAAATAAAATAGCCAAGACAAGGAGAAAAGCTTGTAGTTAAGTAAGAACACTCCGCACTTCTGGGTGACGTTAAGAAACATATACAACGAAAGAGCAAGAAACTTGCTATGAAAAGTTCTTTTTGGAAACTTAAGGAGCTAGGAAACGGAGTCTTACTGAAATACCTTGAACAAATTATTACTTTCTATTCTTTCAGATTTCAGTATGCACTTTTCCTTACCTCTAGCAATATGATTGTTGCTAATAAGTTTAAGAAAGGCTAATATAGAGCTGCAGTCAAGAACTTAAATAAAGATTGTAAAAATAAAGTGAACAACCAGAAAATGCAACTGACCTTCTGACCTGTATTGCACAGCAAGAAGCACCCTGTTCCATACCTAGCGTGAAAGCAAAGGAAAGTTAAAACCAGGATGTTTAAAGAATAACCTGTTACTGCAACTCATGAATCCGACTCCCCTGTGGAGAATCAAGACTCCACTTTTTACCCCTTGAAGGTTATGTTGCCATTAACTCATGACAAAACCATCCTCAAAAAGTTGATTTAAATACAGCCTGCAGCTGAAAAATCTAGTCCCGCACCTCTCTCTCTGGCTATTTCTTGTATAATACTTGAGCAAGGAGCAGATATGGCTGAAAATTAAGTGTGAATTCCTCTTTGGTGGCAGTGTTTACCTACTTCAATTTAAGCTGCTTATGAAAGCTACTTTATAAAATAAATATTTCACAATATTAAATTCAAGCTTTTGAAGTGGAAAATTGAAAGAAAATTGAAAAGAAACTGTTACTGTCACAAGGAAGAGGGTTTTCTTTAAACATATTAAGTTCAAAAATTTCTAAAAATGGCATGCTCCTCATTTGAAGACCACATCACATGTATGTGTGCATACACACACATAAAAGGACACAGTTTAATAAAAGGAGGACAAAATACATATAATCCACTCTAACTTATTCTAAGAAATTTTGAGTTCCCTATCTTTTTAATACCCTGAAAATTAATAGCTTAAAATAGTACTGAGGAAGTCTTCAGTTATATTTGGAGAGAAAAAGGGTAAAGCAGTAACGCAAATAGGTTAAAAGAATCTCACTTTGACCTTTTGGTTTAGCTGGATTGTTTTCAAAAGGTCTCTCGTGTTATAGAAGTGTTTGTTATAAAAATACTTTGTAACAATATTACTTAGAACTGTGTTTGTTTTATTAAACTAGAAGGCCACTAACCATTAAATTTGTGTATAAATATAAAAGTGAAGGTTAATTAGCAACAAATATAGATTAATGTGTAATTAAATCTGTGAAAGTCCAATACTGTGTATATACCTACATGCTCAGTTAAGCACACGGTTGTAAATGGAACAGTAAGTCATTTAAGCAGAGAGCTTTTCCTGAAATGAATGTTTGATTACACCACTTGCCTGATTTAACTGATCAGCTATTTTAAACAAGGGACACTAAGAGGCTGAGAAATAGGAAAAAAAACAAATGTAAAATTCTCCACACTGAGCTTGACACAGAAGCAAAACTAAGCACTGCAGCTGAAATGAACCTTTCCCATCCAGCAATGCTGTGGTTTTTTTGTCATTCAAGTCTATGCAATCTAACTCACACGGTCTGTATTTGCTTAACTACAGGTCACAATTTAAATGACACTGCAACAGTTTTAACCTGTATTTTGGAGAATTTTAAAACGAAAAACCTCTTGTCACACAGAGATATTTCCTCACAGTGACTTTGTTCCAAAATATAACTCACAAACCATTTAACTTTAATATGTTGACCGTTTTAGATAAAAGTCAGGACACTGTTTACTTTGTAGGTCAACACAGTCAAAAGATAGAGCTGTAGTTATGTGGCAACTACAAAAGCATTTGGCAGTTAGCATGAAAGAGAACATAATACTAAAAAGAGAACTAATACTAAAAAGAACAAAATACTAAACGTACTGTTTTTCTTACAACTTTCATAATAACTTACGTATTTTTTGCCTGCCCGTCTTGAAAACACGTTTGCCCAACAAGAGCAGCAGACTGGTCACCCAAGCACTGAAAAAAGGGATTTTTTTTTTTAGAAAATGTCTGCACATGAATCACATGCATGAAAAGGGAACATGAACAGATATACTTAACTATAATCTATTAGGACCATGCAGGTAACTGAAAGTGAGGAAAAATCTATAAAGACAACGTGTGCTTTTTATTACTCTTCCCTTCACAAGAACTGCAAATGAAATGTGTCGTGCTATTTATGGTGGACAATTTAAAGAAATCAAAATTTACTATCTTTATGCATGTTGTATTTGAAAAAGCTGAGAATCTGCCCCACATTTCTGGATTATGTATATACTGAACTCCTTTTATATATAAAGCAGAGCTTGCTTCCATTTTGTGATGTTACTTATTTACTTAGAGACCCCAAATTTCCAACAGCACTACCCACACGCATTAAAGCTGTCAGCTGTATTTCCACAGCCAGACCTTAACGTAATAATGAAGAACCCAATCAACTAATAATTCAATTTCAAAAATCATCAGCTTAATTTGTAGCAGGATTCACCCATCTCAAAGCTTTTTCCAGTGAAGATATGTTCATGCAGTATCAGGTTCTCATGCCAGAATCTGAGTTGAAGTAGGACTTACCCCAGAAATTGGTACACCTGTCAAAGCTCCAGATTTCTGATTCGCAAAAAGAGAAAGAAAAGCTCCAAATTAGCTATGACTACAGTCTAAGGCAATGAAAAAGAAGCTAAACTTGTAATGCTCAAAGGAAAACAAAGAAGGGTCACATAAGCATCACAGTTCAGTTCAGGTGTCCATTGAACTTCAGCTTAATGCAGCTCATGCGTAAAACACTAAAAAATAGAGAGCGGGAAATTTACAGGTATATTTTATGTCACCTCAACAGTTCTTAACATAAATTTTCCTGAAATCATAGTGTACGGAAAATTAGGTTCAGTGTAACCTGTGCAGTCAGTGTCAAGTGCAAAATGCAAAGTGCAAAAATGGTGAAGTGACTAGAAAAAAACATGATCGTGATGACACACTAAGCAAAGACAGATGCCTCATGTTGAGATACAGCATTTTAAGTCTCATACAGAATTTCTTCCAAACACTACCACGTAGTTTTTCAGTTGCATTCTTGCAATAGGTAACATAAGAAATTTATATCATGCCATTTTTTACTTCTTTCTTTAAATTGTTTCTTTGTGCAATTGTGAAAACGCATTTTCAGTGAAGCCAGGCAAGTGTATTTCCAATCTGAATCTTTTTTTCTTTAATTCTCATTTTAATTAACTGGATTTAAGGTAATTGAATTTATAAGTGCACTAAAAACCCCTGCATGAATCTGAGGTTTCACTATAATAGAATGAATATTTGTAGGCAGAATGGCCCACTTTTCTCATTTATAAAATGAGACAGCCAACATTTATTAGCCAGTAGCTGTATTTTTTACTTCACTATAAAAACAAATATTGAACAGCCTGCAAATAAAGGCAAATGCATACATCAAGATTACATTTTAGAAACAACTTTGGCATGAACTCTAATTGTAATATCTCAAATTTGGAAATACCCACCAAATTTATTGGTCTAGAAAGTGTGCTTTTACTAATCCTTAAACCAATGGAAATGCACAGTATCTGAACAGAATGGATAAGATATAGGTGGTCAGCCTAATGGAAGCCTCTACTCACCAGGCTAGGACAGATTTTCTACAGTCAGCAAAAGGAAGAAAAAGAAAAAAAAATGGAAGGAAAGGGGAAGAGAAACAAAAATTCACATTTAAAGTGACCAGCTATTCTGTTTCAGTTGCCAGGTAGTATCTTTTTCCATTCACCTTACTCATTCAGCTGAATACAACTCACTCTCATCTGACATTCACAAAGTCAGCAACGACTTCTAGTGGCATTTCCATTAACAGATTAGCAAAAATACTTACATTTCAGGCAAGTTAGAGTTATATTTTAAATAAAAATCTCGTAACTTGTCTTAATTACAAAATGCCTGTATGTTCTCAGTAAACAATAGGGCAAACTGCCAGGAAAAAGAATGCACAACATCCAGTTTATCTGATTCTGAAGCTTTTAAGAATAAATTAGATGCCACTGTATCAGAAGAGTTGGTGCTGCATCAAAGTAAACTTGAAACCTCAGCCCCATGATAACAATTAATGATTTACTTCTAAGTAATATTCACAGCCTCACTGGAAGCAGTGTGATTAAAAAGACATCACAATATTCCAAAATATTTTTTTCACTGAGTGCTATGTAAATATAAAGGGCAAGAGGAGTTTATTTTTCAAAAAGAAGGCAATCTAAGGTGTCACTTGTAACTTTCCAGTTCACAGAAACTGACTAATCTTGCCTTCAGTTGTGTGGAAATAGGACATTACACATCTCATCCAGTCGTCTTAGTTCATGAAGACTTCTATAGCGATTTTCATCTCTTCTTTTGAATTGTACCACAAGTTAAAATATTGTGCTCTAATAACAGCAATCTCATTCTTTTAATCTATTGATTATACCTTGCATTCTGATGGGTAGTTTCTAAATCAATAAGTAATTGTAATAAACAAACAAAATGTTTATCCTTATCTAAAACCTCTCCCATTTTGTTTTGCCTATTTTACACTTAAAAGAGAAAACAACAGATATTCAACTTGATATAATATTACACAACAGTAGATAACGACATACTAATCATAAATCAAACAATAGTTGTCTAGAAAAAGCCATTATTCTTAATCTATGGAAATTCTGTCAAATTTATATTGATATAGTTATAGTTATTACAAGATTAACTTCACACACAAGAAAACATACCATCAGGCCATAAATCTCAGAGGAGCTTCGTACTTTTGGAAGTATTTCCATAGGAATATCAAAGAACCTGAACACAATACAAAATGATTTATATATGTGGTCAGTGCTAAATCAGAAAGCATTTTGCAATTATTTTCTTAAATAAGTTTAAGCTGTAAAGAAAAAAAAATAAAAGCAATTTCTAGGGTTTAATCCATCATTATGTGTTTTTCTACTTGTTACAGTAGAATTAGGTTACAGACTGAATTATGGGGTAAACCAGCATATATTTGACTATTTTGAAGACATACCCAACTCTTTCATGTGGGAAGTCATTCCTCTTCCAACGATTTCTTTATAATATTGTTATTAATAAATTTAAATTTAAATAGAGACACTATCATTGTAACTGCCTTACAAATTTGATTAAGGAATAAAGAAACTATTAAATGTTTCCATGAACCAGTCTTCCACCTACAGAAAAAATCAAGGCTCTGCTACTTTTAATTAATCCAGACAGTTGCAATTTGGACATCTGGAGAACAATGAATCTTAATTGTTAATGTTAACAGTAAATACAACAGTATGATCTTAGTCTAGATACGAGATTCTTACTATTAAATGAGTTTCTTTACACATCACTTATAGAATCTATTTAAATAACAGTATTACTGAAGAACTGAGCTTACCGGCAGAGCTCAGGATCCCATTCCAAGGAATGAATATTGAACAACATTGTTCTACTGGCATTGGTTACATCTGTACAGTGAACGCCTCCATTCTTTCCACCTGTCAAACTCTGAACAAAAAAAATATCAACAGTATTTGCCAAGAAAAGATACAGGTTTACTTTAACCAATTAATTACAAAAAAATTTTTTTACATTCACAAAGCTTTCAGCTTGGGACTGAGGACTTTGATATTTCTGCAAAAACTAAAGGGGCAGATTTGATATAGTGGAAAAAAGGCATGAGAGAGGTAATAAAGGTACAGCAGTACCTCCTGGATTCTTATATTGCAAAGGTGGCTAATACATCTTTCTAAAGTCCAAGATTTTTCCAAAACATTAGTAAAATTTTACAGCAACCTATAAATGGTAAACTACACGTAAGCATCTACAAAAAAAATATAGCGATACAGGGACAGTGCAAGTTCATCTTGTAGGGAACTTTAATGGAATTTCTTTAGTGGCTTGTATTGACATCACTGTGTGATCAGTGGGCATCGTGTGTCATAGTACTTTGCACAGAAATTTGCATGACATGAAATTCATTTTAAAAAGAGTAATAATGAACTCACAAATACATACCCATATAAGCCATGAATCAATAGTCCCAAACATAGCTCTTCCATCATCAACTGCTTGCCTAATCTCTTCCACATTATCCAAAAGCCATCGAAGTTTCACTGCACTAAAATAAGTGCTAAGCGGAAGACCAGTCCTAAACTGTAAAATAAAATCATTTAAAGACCATGCAAGTATCTTTTCCATGAATACTGTAATTATATATAAAAATGGTGATAGTAAGTGAAAAACGAAAGACACAAAACTCAGAGAAATGACACAAGCTTGTTATTTAAATAAGTACTAAGCGTACAATACACAAGTCTGAAAATATCAAAACCAAATGACCAATGCATTAATGGACAAAGATCAAAGCTGATCTAAATGCAGTTCAAAGACCATTTACATGGCAATAATTGTTTGCAGAAGTCCTGTCTTATCTAGGATATCTCCATATGACTAGACAGCAAATAATATCAATAAAAATGAGCAGCACAGCACAGGAGAGATGGAATTTGTATTCTACTAGGACTTAAAAATCAAATAAGTTTATATGCTTTTTGACAACCATTTCCTGGCTGAAAATACATAATATATAAAATATATAATATTTATACAATCAATCGAGGAAAATATAAATCAAAGAATTATGACACCTTTTTGCAAGCATTTTTTTTGCAAATTGTTATATATATACCCATATAAAAAAAAAGAATGAATTTGCTCTTTATAAAATATCTTCCCAGTTCTCAGCTCGGTTGCAATTAATTTCAATATTAAGGCATAAGATGAGAAAGGATAATATATTTCACATCAATAAATTGTTTTCCAAACAATTTTTTCCTACTTGCTCTTAATTTTTGTGTGTGATGTTTACTTATCAGTGGATAGGTAGCACATGACTAAGTCTCACTAACGATTACTCATTTAACTTCTCTACTGAGATATGTAAGGAGTGTTAACCACTTATTTTGAGGAAAATAAACATTTTCCAGTCTCAGATCTGTAGTATAGTATTATGCACATTTTTTATTATTTAACAAGCTAAGAAGGGACTAGAAGCCACAACCAACTTACTTTGTTTTGTAGAATTTTAAGCACGCATCTCCAAAATGTTACGTACTGTAGCAATAATAGTTCAGCTACTATTTAAATGTTCTGGAATATCTCTTACCTTAAAAAAGGCTTTGTTCTTTCCTGGAATTCTTTTAAGAAGCCGTTCAACTGTTGACTGGGTTCTCAGGTCAAGCCACACTAAAAACACGAATGAAATTAACTGATCAACTGATTTAATAAATGAAAAGTGATATGTACAAGCTTCTTCTACAAAACTAGAGCTCTTGCTGTTAAATTCCTGTATTTATTTTTAGCTTTTCATGTAGCTGAAAGAATATTGTATTGCCATTGTTTTTTTAATGCACTGTTGTAAAAATTAAAAATGGTTAGATAAACTCATTTGATTTAGAAGAACAAATGATTTGAGAAATCAAACAGGATTTTCCACATAATAGGATATATACTTTTCTCTACCAGAGCATATAATACTACTTTACTTTGTTTACAGCAGATGACTGTCATTAAACTAGGAGGTTAAAACAAATAGCAGGTTGATTATTTACTACTTCTATGAAAACTTTGAACTGAAGTGCTATGTCAGAGTCACCAAGATACAGCTGGGCTTAAAATAAAGATGCAAACAATATATATTTGAATATAGAAGTCCTGATTTTTCAGTGATACTATGCTAAACTAAATCTGGTACTTGACATGGCCTAAAAGAGCAAATCCAGACAATTACCATTTCTCAGCTGACATAATCTGAAAAGCCAAGGTAAGTTAAAAATAAAATTCAAAATGCCTTAAATTCCTTACACCTACTTAAAGTAAAATCAAAAGCATCCTGAAAATTCAGTAAGCTCTTTCATTTAAAAGAAAGTGACTGGGCGTAAGTCAGAACTTCATTACATGCCAGGGATGTACAAACCCCCTCAGGAACACTGATTTTTGTTAAAAGTCCATAAAGCAATTTATTAACTATTAAGTAATAATTTTAACAGAATGGGCTTTTTTTAACTGTACTGGTGTATACAAACACACAGCTTATGACACAGATATCAAAAAATCAAAGAAGTTAGTAGGCTAGGCCACAATGAGATCTGCACAGGAAACCAGGAAAGCATTTTTCTACAACATGCTCATTTTATGATATTACATATTCAGAAAGTATAGTAGTTACCAATAGCATTATAAAGAGGTTCTCCAGTTGTCTTGTCCCAAACCACTGTCGTTTCTCTCTGATTGCTGACTCCAATGGCTTCAGGACAAAATAGAAAGAAGTATCCTTTTCAGAAGGTTTGTTTTCCCCTTTTAGGGGGTGAGGGGGGGAAGGGAGAGGTGGAGAGGAGGGAGGAACAGGTAAGGAGAAGAGGAAAGCAAATGGCAAATAAAAAGCTTCCAACTTTTTCATGTTATAATCTAGAAATATTACTTCTAAAAACTCATCATTCAACTTTTGCTGCTTAACCTATGTGCTCTAAATCTCTCTCTTTTTTTTGCCACAGCAACAACACTGATAGGGAAACTACCTTTTCCCAGTAAGTCCTAATTTAAATTTCAGAATGTCTTCATTCATCACTTGTCTCTGTGATTTTGCAAGATTAGGTTAAGTCTACTTTGTACACGTTGCATTGCTAATATACACGAAGGACTTATTTTCTCATTATTCCTCTCAAACAAACTGCTCTCAACACCAATTTAACATTTTCTTTGCGGCCAGCACATACTGCCACCTTTCTATTTATTGACTTAAAAACTAGAGAATCTGACTTGCTCAACCATGAGTATGTTAAAGCCCTCAGTTACCCTTAAGTACTAGGAATACCTTTTATGTTAGTGATGTCTATGTTCAGTTGTTGCAGTTTCTCACAGGCCTTTTCCACACATTCATGGACAGACTTTAATATTTCCTTTGCATCTTGTTCCACCCATCTTTAACAAACAGTAAACACCAGTTAATAAAAAAAACCAAAAAATAACCTTTAGGGAAAAAAAGAAATTCTAGTCTGAAAAACCAGCTGAGCATTTTGACACAATCATAACTACAAAGTATGTTTTACATATCTAGAAAAAGTGTAAAGAATTTCAAACCCATTTTAAACAGTAAGCTGTATTTTCACAACAAAACCATCTGCAGAAAACAAAGGATTTTGTTTTGTTTTATTCTATACAGAGGGCTTTGGCAGCACATGGTAGGTCAGCTAAGAACAAACAAACAAAAAAACACCTCAGAGAACAAACTAAGCAATTTCTATGGACTGAGCTGAAGACTGTGATTAAATTGTAAAAATGACCAGCTTTACCACTTTAAATGAGACTTTAAGTCTTGTTTAAACTTTAGTTTTAAAGTTTAAGCTTTAAATACGTTAATGAGTGGTCAGAGTAAAACACTAAGTATTTTTAGTTTACGTAACTCAGAGCACGTACCAGAAACGCTATGTGGGGTTTTTATGCCATTTTTCCTACCACACAGTCTTTTATAACAGATACTATGTTCTTAATAATTATTAATCAACTTCAGTTTTGATCATTCATAGATAAAAATACATAAGTTCTACCAAAATGTAGACAAACAAATAAAAAACCATGAAAAATTCATACCCTTCTTTAGGGAATTTCTGCTGTATCTCAACTTGATGGTGACTCAAGAGCTCTGCTGTTTTCGCATTAAAAACCTGTAAATAAATTACACAACAGAATTTTCTATGAACACAGATGCTTAAGCAACAACAAATTAATATTTATTCTTTTGAAAAATACAGTGCCAGAATAATTGATAGTCATTTTCTATCAACCCAGATATCCATATAACCTGGGTTCAGATATACGAATTTTTGTAATTAAGGTGAGTAAAGAATATTTTGGTAAGCTTTGCTGTCAGTTATAACTGCTTTTTTTTTCTTGATGGATTGGGAAAATTTTTTCTTGTGGAGGTTGTAGAAATTAAACCAATGATGCATTTTAGAACATACCTCTCAGTAAAATACCCACTGCTAGGCATAATAACATTTCTTTAGTTCCTGCTCTGATACTCTAATGCCAGAGCTATGCCTTTTCTTGGGCTAGCTCACTTTTAGGAGGAGTGATTTTGAAAGACAGACAATCACATGTAGTTTAGAAATCACAGAAAGGACCAAACTGTGAAGAAAGAAAAAGCACCTAGGCAAAACCCAGTTTGTTTCAAAACAAACTACAAATACAGAGCTCATGAACAAGCTGACAAGAAAAAAATGTCACTGCAGCAATATAATATATTAAAAAAGAGAAGAACATGCAGAAAATTTACTTAGATTTGGATATACTACAATAAAAAACAGCACAGTAGAGAATCCTGAGGACTATACTAATGGCTATTCTTACGGAATAGTAAGTTAGAGGCCCTGCCTTGCAGTAGAAGCTCAGCTAGAATACACAATGATCTTCATTCACCATCAGTGGCCTGTTTCCAAAAGCAATCTACTGTGGCCAAGCTAAGATGAAACACAGTAAATCATGCAACTTAATTGTACAATGAGTAATCCAGCATAACTGACTGGGCAATGACGACACTCCTGTGAAAATGGCTCTTTCTCACTAGGACCATGCAGAATCTTTTGCTTGAAGAATGTTCAGGGACCTAGAAAGAAAATCTAGCAGCAGACTCCGGTGAACTGCAGAACTTGCCAGTAGGACATCATCCTATCTTTTCATGGCAAGCAGAGGAGGGTCAGAGTTAGAAACCACTCTTGTGATAAGGGTACGAAATTCAGTTATACCCATCCACTCTCTAGGATACAACTGAATCTCTTCTAGACTTTCTTGGCAATGCTCTCTTCTCATTCCACAAATTTTAGGAATTTCTCTTAAAGCCTTTAATCCATAAACTCTTGATTTCACTTAGATAGTACAGTTTACTCTGAAACTAACAGAACAATTCTGACAAAGAGCAGATGAAGTTCTGTTCTCCAGTTTCTTTGAAACCTGAAAGTGTATCTTTAGAGTGAAACTTTGAAGTTTAGAAACATTCTAGTTATATATTAGGATCATAGAATAATTCTGGCTGAAAGGGACCTTGAGAGATTTCTAGTACAACCTCCTGCTCAAAGCAGGGTCAGCTATGAGATTAGACCAGGTTGCTCAAGGACTTTTTCTAGGCAGGTCTTGAAAACCTCCATAGATGGAAACAGCACAACCTCTCCGGAAAATACTAAAAGCTAATTTTTCCCCTCCATTCCCCAGAAAAGAAGTCTTAAAAAGGTACGTTTGTTGTTTTCTGTTATCAGTTGGAAAGATTACATAGAAAAAGCACCACTGTATTCTTTTTACCATATTTGCTTCTCTGTGTTTCATCTACCAGCTCAGGGTTGACATGAAGCTATCCTAATGGAAGGGTAAGCTCTGCCAGTACTGCATGCTTGGAAGGAATTAGTATAATGGGATACAGGTCTTAAAACGCTATGCAACATAGTTAATAGGAGAGATCAAGTTTTGCATGTATGCAGCCAGATTTTTTTTACTTGAAATTGCCTTTCTGACAAAGGCATAGTAACATTTACTAAGTTTTTATAATAAAGGTAGAAAGATAGAAGACTTTTTATTGAACCTGTATGTATCTGACCTACTAACAGTGTTAAATATCATGTGGTAATCATTCACCATTAATCATTCAGTATTCCTTGAGACAGAGGGCAGTGCATAAGGATTCCTACTGTTAGCAGGAAATAATTACAGATTCAGTTAGACAAGGTCATTCCTTGAACCTGGAGTGTGTGACCCGCAGACAATAAAGGGTGATGCTCTAACATGGCAAGGCTTTTTGCCTCCTTCTAAGCAAGCTGTTCTAACAGCAATAAATTCTCAACAGAAGCAATAACACTACAGATGCATAGATTTTTCATGCCCATAGAGAAGAACTAGGTAAACACGTTCTCCTAATCCATCACAAACAAAACCGCAAGCTTCTGACATCCTCAACAAAGCAGCAGACACTCCCTGTACCTCAGGGCAAGGGATTAAAAAGTTTCACTGAGAACAATACCATGTTCTACAGTGATAAATAGAATTCTGATACACGAAAGGATGCCAAACATAAATGAGTCATTACATTTAAACCTAGAAGACGATAAACAAAATAAGGAATAAATAGAACAAATGGGACCTCCCCTCCTTCCCTGCCCCCTCTCCCCCAAAAAAACCCTGTTGCCAACAAAACCCCCAAGCACTCCTTGTTTCTCTCAGTGACAGTGGTGGGAGAGAGAAATAGGTAACAATGAGTAATTCACATAAGGTCAATACTTTCCTGTTGAAACAGGTTTGAAGTGTATTTCTGTCACTGCTTTCCTTCCTTTCATATTCATTAAAACCTGGTTCCAGTTTATGATACTGATCTCTCACTTTTTGTAGGGGGAAAAAAAAAGCCAAAGTCAGTTTTGCCCTAATTTTATCAACAGTAGTCACAGAATTGTATAGGCTATTTGGACATTTAGAGCTATCTTGAACAGAGATGATTTGATGAGACAGTGAAAACCACCAGATATGTACTGAATTCTCTGGTGAGAGATTAAAGAAAAGGAATAAATAACACTCGCCTTCCACTCCCAACAAATTATCATACAAGGAATTAGAGCTTGAGCCTTGAATTTCAGAGTGAAGGAGAGAAGAAAGACCTACTTAGCTATGCTGTATGTAAACAAGCAATCACAAGGGCCGATCAGTTAATTCAGGGTCTCTATATAGGGTCTCTATTATAGGGTCTCTAATATAATACATGACATCATATGAAAGGGTGCAAACTGTTGCATGGTATTACATTGAGCCCTTATCATCTTAGTGGAAAAGAATTCAGATCAACCAGTCTAACAGTCTTCAGTGAATGAAAAGAAATATGAGACAAACAGAAACATGAGGCTTATGGAAACTATGCAAGAAGCTGCACAGCTGAAAAGACAATAGTGAAAACATAGATTTTAGAAGTAATTTCTCATTACTCTCAAGCTTTGCCACGTAACTCTGCCTGCAGAAAAGCTACTTCTGTTAGCCTATGCTGTATCTTCATGGGTTTCTGTTAAGCTGGAACAGCTATGGCTTTGAGGCAAACAAGCTCAGAGCTGGAGTTCTGAAATTGCATTGAAATCAACCCAACTGGGGGACGGATGACAGACAATCAATAATTAAACCTTTAGCATTTAACTAGGATTAGCAGGCAGTCAGAATTTATGAATAAGCACAGTTTAACAAGTCACCTAGAAATTGTCTTGCTTGGAAGGCTCCTGATGAACAGACCTCCCTCAAGGAGGTGCTTATGATGATGGGAATAAAAAGCAGAACTACAATGTATTTTAAGTGATAAAAGCTAAGAGTTAGGGAAAAATTAAAATGTTTTCTATATTTTTAACCCTTCTTGTAGCTATACAATCAAGTTTTGCTTTTTCCCAAAAGGTCACGTTACTTCAGTAGAGGGGTGAAATGGATTCCCCTCTGAAGGGTAAGCTCAATGGGTACTAAGTTTTCCTTATCTAAAACCAGTTTTTGTTTACAGAAAAGAATGGTTACAGTGTGATACAGCTTTATTTGAATGTTTCTTCTGGAAATGAAGTAAAGAAAGAAAGAAATATTCCACTGAGGTGGAAAAAAATTCTCTGTGGCTGACTGACAAACTTAGAACTTGAAGTACTATATATGTACTTCACTGAATATTTTGATTCTTGCTGTTCCTAGATAAAATGCCAAAAAGACTTTACCCAGCAAATACCTTTAAGAGATCAGGCAGTGGTTCAGCTGGCCATTAGCTCCTGATCGCAAGACTTTTAGCAAAAGAAGTTACAACAGATTTTTATTATATGATTCTTGAATAAAAAAGTGGAACATGAGAGATGCAAGTATTTGATGAAAATCTTTGGCAAAACATGTAGACCAAAATGTAGTCATCTGGGTACACTTGTTTAGGCTACTTAATTTATTTTCCTGCTTGATATCTTTAAGAAAATGTGCCTTAAGCAATTGCACTGGTACTCAAAGCACCGTGCTCTCCCTGGTAACTCTGAATCTGCTATCCAGGTTCAACCCAACTTAACAGAAAAGTTGAGATCTCAAAAACAATTACAGTTTATTTTGCAAAAGCAAGTAGCTTAGCAAAGAAAAGATCAAAATTAGGGTCCCCAGAGGGTAAAACTACAGCATAAGCTAAAACTGTATGTGTAGTGTATGTGAGAGGCAAGGATAAATAAGGAGTGACAGTAACAGAAATACACTTAAGTTCTGGTGCTTCTTCATCGTCTATGCTCATACAGCCTCACTCACATAAGCAGGAGAATCTCTCAAAACTTGTGTCCATACACAGAACAATTAATTCTGGAAGGAGGTCATCTAGCCCAACCCACTGCTCAGGTAAGCTTAAAGTTAGACCAGGTTGTTCAGGGCCTTTTCTAGTCAGGTGTTGAGTATCTGCAAGGATGGATATTCCACAGGCTTCCTGGGCCCCTGATCCAGAGCCCCTCATAGTGAAACATTTCTTCCTTACATCTATTTGAAGCTTCCCTTGCCACAACTTGTGTTCATTGCCTTTTTCTGTGCATGTCTGAGAAAAGGCTGGTTCTGACTTCTCTACAAACTGTGGTTAGATAGCCAAAGACATCCCCTTAGACTCCCCTGTGATGAAAAAAACCCTGCTTTCCCAACCTCTCCTTGCATGCCTTGTGCTGCAGTGCACTGATCATGTCAGTGAACCTCTGCTGGACAAAACCCAGTTCTTCACTCTGTTCCTCTGGGGGGGGATCAAAACCAGACACAGTGTTCTCAATGCTGCCTCCTAAGTGCCACACAGATAGCAATAATTACTTCTTTTGATCCATAGTCTGCACTTTTCTTAATGTGGTTAATCTTCACCACCACAAGGACACACTGCTCACTTATATTCAACTATGCTATCCAGCAGG